GAGCCCAAGGAGAGTTTTTAAAAGTACAAATGCAAACTGCTGGGTCTGGCAGTGTGGCCTACCGGCTAAAGTCCTTGCCATGAATATGCCAGGATACCATATGGGTGTCGGATCCCTTCAGCTCCACTTCCCATTCAGCTCCCTGCTTGTGGCCCTGGAAAGCAGGAAAGCATTCAAGGACGGCCCATGCATTGGGACCCGGAGCCCATGAGGGAGCCCTGGAGGAAGGCACTTAGCTTTGGATTGGTGCTTTGCAGCCTCTTGGGGAGTGAATCATCAGACAGGAGATCTGTCTCTTCTGCTCTATATATCTGATTTTGTAATAAAAATAAATAAATCTTTAAAAAATAAACGAAAACCCACAGCCCAGAAGGTCGTTTTAACGAGACAAAAGCCTTCCTGATTTTGTAGCTTACCAAACAATGGAAAGAAGTTAGCAGTCACACCCTTTTATTTTATCTTGGGTAAGCTATATAGGATTACTTCTAATGGCTTTGTCCTTGCCCTCTTGTTAATTGTTATCTATTTTTCTGCTCACTGGAATTTCAGTTCAATGGTAGCACTTGTTTGGGTCTTTGTCTTCAGCTGGAGGAGTCCATCTTTATTGTCTTTAATCTTGATCACTTGCTTAAGTTTTCTGCATGAAAATTCTTTTTTGTGAGACTAAATGCCTTCCTGTATTCCCCTGGAATTCCCAGCTGTAGGGGCTTTATCTGGGCCTCCCAAGGGGTACCTCTTCCCACAGCCTTGGGTTAGATCAGCAGGGAACTTGGGTAGTGGAGGAGCCAGCACTCCAGCCAGTGTCCATTTGGGAGGCTGGTGTTGTAGCTTTACTTGTTAACTGCTTGGCCCTCATTTTTTCAAGGAATTTATTTTAATGATCAAAGAAATGTTTCTCTCTGCTGTATAGTAAGTGTTGGTATGTCGCATTGTAAAATAATGTATTGACTTCATTTGTTCTCCAGGGAAGTAAAATTTAGTTCTCGGCAAAGATTGTGCAAAATATTAGGTGGTAAAATTGTGTACCTTACATAAACACATGTGGCATATGGGTGACTAAAACAAGGAGCGGAAAATTGGGGAAATATATATACATTAAAGGTCATGTGCTATTTGTGGTAAATCAAATGAAAGTTTACAACTACCAATCCAGTTGTGGCTAAGAATAAAGTATAGGAAAACTGAAAGGCTTCCTGTTTCTAGGTCATCTTGAAAACTTTTTTGTCGATTGAAAACGTATTTCTTTGGATGTTGTGAGTGTGGTAAGAAGATAATCAGATTCTGTTCAAATGACGTAGCCATTTCACAATAAAATGTCACATTGCTTAGTGCTGGTTGTGTGAAATTAGCAAGATGAAAGAAATGTGAGGAGATGGAGGAAAGGATTCATATTTAAACTAAGGAGTTCCATGTTGCTTTTGGTTCAGGATGGGTGGGTGGCTAGAGCAACTTATATTATCACAGGTGCCTGGGGGAAAATCACTTGACATGATTTTGAACCCTTTGGGGCCAGAATATGCCCAGTGGAGGACGGTGGAGGAAGGAGAACTCGAACTCGCAGCAGTACACAGGTGGCCCAAGTTCAGAGCAGAAGCAAGCCCTGTTACAATAAATAGTCATTACATACTTAACTGTGATTCAGTATCTATTTAGATAGAATACATTTTTTATACTTAAGGTGCATGTTTCAAAATGCAGCAGCATATCGGAGCAGCACAACAGGTGTTGTGAAATTATTTCCCTTTTTTTTTCTTGCTGAAAATTCGTGAAGGTAAAACTAACAGTCAGTTTCATTGGGAATGTTCCTATTTTAAAAGTCAAATAAGCAGGACCATTGAGTAACACCCCAAGTGGCCTCAATGGGTGAAGCTGAGCCAATCTGAAGCCAACAGCAAGGAGCTTATTTCCCATGTTGGTGCTCAGAACCAAAGTTTTGGGGCGCCTTTCCTGCTTTCACAGGCCACAAGCAGGGAGCTGGATGAGAAGCAGGGCTGTGAGGATTAGAACTAATGCCAATAAGAGACCCCATGCGTTCAAAGTGAAGACCCGTGCCATGTGCTGGAATTTTTTTTTTCCTGAATTGTGCACATCTTTTGCCAAGTTCAGTATAGTTACATGAATAAGGTGAAATTTACCATTGTGGTTGTATTTGCGTCACAAATGATGGGCCAGTACTGTAAAATTTCTTTCCTTCCTATTCTGGATGGTGTCAGCATTGCACCCAATGCATTGTGTACAGTAAGACAAGAGTTTCTTATTTTAATGTAATGTGAAAGGAAACCTTATGGCCAAAATGGTGGCATTATTCATGAAGTCATCTGCAATGCCTGCAACTAAAGTGGCTGCCACTTAGTTTTGGTTACCCTGCTACTAATCCAACTCCCTGCCTGAGAAAAGCACAGGTTCACTGCTGTGCTTGTCCCCCACTTACCACTTAGGCGATTCAGGTGAAGCTCCTAGTTCCTGGGTTCCATCTAATACTGCCCTGGCTTTTTTTGTCAGCCGTTAAAGGTGTAAGCAATTTGGTTTCAAAGAAGCAGATAGAGATTTTTTAATATAAATTACAGTGAAGTAACACCAAAAAGCTATATTTCAGGCTTGGTGTTTATTAGTTCCATTAAATAATCCTCCCCCTCTTATTTTTAAAAAATTTTTTACTTTTATTGGAAACGCAGATATACAGAGACAAGGATATACAGCAAGAAAGATCTTCAGTGCGCTGATTCATTCCATAACAGACCACAACAGCTGGACATGAGCTTGTCCAGAGCCAGGAGCCAGTAGCTTCAAAGCTTGGGGCCATCCTTAACTGCTCTCCCAGACAAGAATCAGGGAGCTAGATGAGAAGCAGGGTGACCAGATTTATAACTGGCATGCATATGGGCAAGGCAAGGACATGAGTCCCTAGGTTACAGCTCCAGCCCTAATCCTACCCTTGTGCCAAGATGCGATGTGGGTGGCAGTTTGTGCATCTCCAGCTTCATTATTTTTGTTCAGTTGTTGAAAATGCAGAGTGGTAGCCAGAGTAATCTTGCGTTTGCTTAACACATTTCCTTTTTTGGGGGGGGTAGTAATTTTGTTAATCTTTATGTAGTAGATTAGGGCACAAAGGATCTAGCTCATTTTCCTAATGTTGACAACAGCCCAGGGGCAACTAACCTGTAGATAACAGTATAGCTACATGAATGTTATTAGGGATAATATTACCTGGGCCATCATGTGATAGATTCCCTGGTATATTTACTGGACACGGAATATGAAGGAAAACGAATTTCATTTATTTTTTTAATTCTAAATTTTCAATGTATCCTAATGTGCCAGTTGACACCTGTATAATAATGTATAATAATTGAAGCAAGGCTCACTGCTTTTTTTTTTCCTGGAGTAACTGCTGTGAATATTTTTAGGCAGTTCCTACAAGCTTTACTTGTAGTCTGCACACATGCTTATGTGTCAAAGAAAAAGAAATAACAACACATCTGTAATGTCTCTGCATCTCTCATACTTAAGACTGCGACTTAAGACTAATGGCTGCATGCCACTGCACCATGTGAATATGTCAGTTTGTTTATTTCATTTATTTATTAGGTTTTAAAAATACTTTATTTTTATTTTATTGGCAGTTATTTTCCTAAATGGCTGCAATGGCCAGAACTGTTGTGGTCTGAAACCAGGAGTTTTTTCCAGGTCTACCACATTAGGCCATCTTCCACTGTTTTCCCAGGCACATTAACTGGTGCATTTTATTAAGGGTTTTGTTTGTTTCCTTTTGAAGTTACACATTATTTAGCCCTTTGATTTTCCAACTAGGTATGTTGTCTTCTCATCCGTGTCTTACTATTCTATTAAGGGTGGTTCCAGTCCTTGTTAGATTTTGGGCGGCCTATTTATGGTACCCATAGCTACCCTTTTATGTGTGTTGGGAATATTTTCCTTGATATCAATGCAAATACCTCCACTGCTGCAACTCCTGTGAAAACAATGGTGTAATAATGATTTCAAAAACCGGTGAGAAGGTACTAGAGAGTGAGACTTAATGACAATGTTTCCTTTTTAGTCTGAGTTTCAGTAATTGCAATGGTGACACTCTTTTGCATATCCACAGTTAGTGAAGTGCACAGTCACTCAATTCTTTAAAAATGTCCTGTTCAGTAAAACAGCTTTGAGAAATCAAGAAACTCCAATTGTTAATGTGAATGTAGAAAATTGCAGTTGGGTTTATTCTGGTAACATTTAAAGAAAATTTGTTGGCCTATCGACCAGTCCAAAGATCCATGCACCACAACCCAAGGCTTTCTTTCATCCTAACCATCATGTGTGCATGTTCATCAAATGATAACACTAGCTAGCTTATGCTATTACTGTAGTATGATTATAGAATAGCAAAATGCAAAAGTTAACTCCATTGTACATCCACATTTAGCAACATTTTTTTGAAAATTGCTTGAGTTATGCATATATAAGATGTGTACATTTATGTAAACATTTTACTTCAGTACATTTTGCATGAAAGTGTTGGCTATTATCCATTGAATGATACCTTGTGGCCACATTGGCCACAGCTCCGCAATCTGAAGCCAGGGTTTTCTTTCAGGTCTTCCATTTGCGTGTAGGGTCCCAAAGCTTTGACCATCGTAGACTGCTTTCCCAGGACACCAGTAAGCAGCTGAATGGGAATTGCAGTAGCCATGATACAAACCAGCACCCAAATCGGATCCCCATGTGCAACAGAAGTACTTTAGCCACTGGGCTGTCATGCCAAACCTGCAAATTAATATTTCAAAACTTTACTGTGCAAGGCAGTAATAGTCCTTATCATTTGTCGTCTCAATCCAACCCGTTTTGCTGGCTTCTGTAAAATCTGACTGTTCATGTAAATACAACAATAATATCATTTTAGCTTTGTTTTCAGAAGTCACATTTGGTTACTCTCAATGTTTCCATGGTTCATAATCACATATTTGAGCGGATGGCAAGTCATTTCTGTGCTTGTTTTACAGGCAGATTCTGTCAATGGCCCTCAGTCAGAATCCATGGAATACGGCAGTTGTGGTCATGGGGAAGAAAAAAGATTGACATTGAATCCTCCAAATCTCATTGAAAATGTAACTGACAATGTAGAAAGCATGACAGGTATTGAAGTGCAGAGGTGGCCACAAAGCAAGAGATCTCGCTTAAATGATCGTGTTAATGGCAACCTTGTTGGTCTGACAAATGCTGAAAAATCAAAAAGCTCTGAAGATGAGAAGAAACCAACCGTACCTCCAAAATCATTTGCACAAACCTTAAAAAATGGCATTAAAAATGTACAGTACCTACCTACTGAAACAAACCCATCCTTTAAAAAATTCAATATTGAAAATTTGGGCAAGGCATTTGAAAATAGTTCTTATAAATTCCTGAAAGATTCCACAAATCATAATGCTATGAACTCCATTGCTTTTGGTGCAAGTTGTGATCATGTCAAGGGGAAAAGTAATATCTTTGTCTTCCAGACCCCTGGCTCAACCCACTTGTCACTTTCAGATTCTGCAAACTTGAATAGTCTACATAATGAAAGTGATCAACCCGAAAATCCTGAGAATCCATCAAATCAAGAATTCAAAGATGGCTCTCCAGTTCAACCATGCTATTTATCTCTCATAAAAGATAGGATGTTAACATTGGAGCAAGTGGTAGCCATAGAGGCTCTGACTCAGCTTTCTGAAGCACCATCAGAGGATTCCTCCCCATCCAAGTCAGAGCAGGATGAAGAAGCAGATCAGAGAACAAGTACTTTGCTAAACAGATGTAAGGCTATTCTCTACCCTGTAACTAAAGACCTCCAAGACCCAAACTTTCAAGGAGGAGCTCAGAGCTTCCCTGTTTGTGAACTTTTGGAGAAGCAAAGCTCACGCAACGTGATAGTGTTCAATGGCCAAAATACACTTTCCAAGTCACACAACAGCTCATCACCTCACCAGACTACTACAAAGTTATCTGAACATGCGAAAATCACAAACCCAGTATCTGGATTTAATAACAAATCAATTACATCTAAAATCAACACCAGTAAAAGCATTACTCGCGATGAAATTACTCCGGTTGATTATTCCAAAAATTTGCTTCAGTTGCCAGTGGGAGTTAACAACTTGAGCGGTTATAACCAGTTCCCAGAAGGCAGAAAAAATCTTAGTTCAAAGGATGATCCATCCTGTCAGGATGTATCCTATAGTGAAATTGAGGAAGATGTTGCAACAGAATTAGCCCAACTTGCAGGAAAAATTAAATGTAACCATATAAATCCTGAGGACAGAAAAGCCACAATCCTTGATGCTAATAATATCCAGCAGAAATGTACTCGGAAGAGCCCAACACAGAATTCTGTTTCAGCTGCACAGAATAATCATGGCTCTTCACTAACAAAGCAAAAGAATGCAACCCAGAAAAAGCCGAAGTCCACCTTATCCAGAGACCGACGGAAAAAGAAACTCATGGTTGTGAACAACCAAGCAAATTATGAAAGGATGCTGGAACTGTCCTACAAGTACAGCATCTTGCATGCCCTTTGGCTATCGTCCAAGCTTCAAGGATTTGGGCAGTTTGGTCCACGTCATTTTCATATTCGATTTGACCAAATTTCTGATATGTTTGAATTTCTGAAGCCACTGATTTTATCCAGTTCCATACAACACGAGAAATCATTTTTTCCATTCACCCAGATGAAATATCCCCAGTTGACACAGGAAGAAATGAAGATTGAACCATTGGCTTCTCCCTACATTATTCCCATCAAAACAGAATCCAATGGGCAGGAGTCAATAGAGGGAACCTCCAATTCTTGGGAACTGTCAGCAATGAATGTCAATCATAAAGCTCATCTTGTTTCTCAGGCCTACTGTCCAGGTGACCTGCCTGGCATTGTTGGAGAGAGAACATCACAGAACCCAGAGAATATTCTCCGTAATGTGAATGTAGTGAATTCAGGTAGATTCACAGTGGTTACTCCCAAAAGAGAAGAGAAAGGCTGCGCAGCTGGTGTCACAGCATCAGAAAGTAACCAGGCAAAGTTTAATGAGTATACCATGCAGTACATGAACAAACGTGCAAAAAGGCTGATGGCTTCCACGAAAGATGCAGAAATCATCCCGTCCTGTAACTGTCTGGGTAAGTTGTAGATCTCTTCTATTCACCTACAAATAATGTTTTCAGTCATGACAGACTCAAATTCTAATGCATTTTTTCTATGATATTTTTGCCCCATCCCTATTCCAGCTAAGATAGACTAAGTAATTTTATACTCATTTTTCTGTTGCACTGTTATTGATTCTGCTCAGAAAAATGGAAAATTCAGCTCAAAATTTGGACATAAAAAGGAAAACATTCTGAAGTGCAAAATATGCTGATTTCTCTCCAGGCAAAATGCTCTCAAGATGTGTATTGCACATAGTTACAGTTTCTATTGCCATTATATTTAATTAGTTTCAACCCACAAGCTTTTCACTGAGATAGAATATGCATATCAAGAAAGTAAAACCTGTACAGGCCAAAATAACCACAAGAAGTCCCTACCTGAATTACATCTTGATCAAGAGCAGTAGTTGATTTGCGTCTTTATCAGTGTTCAATGCTTGAATGTTTCTGACAGGCCCAGAATTTATAAACCTTGAAAAATTTCTGTTGTGAAGTATTCGACCAATAAGTATTATTTTTTTCCGATTAAAGTGCAAAACTACAAGTAGGTTTGTGCTACCGGTTGCATCAAAGAAGTGTTTCTAATGAATGTATTTTTAGCTTTTGCTTTAGCGAATAAGTTGTATCAGTTTGTGAAATTAAGCACATGATCAAATTTTGCACAAATATGAAAATAAAGATCTGTTGATTCTAAGTGTAAAGCAAAGTGCTAATGCAATGTGCTATATATCTCTTTGCATTCCATGAAAACAAGCTTAGTTGTTTAAACTATGGCACCATCTCCCAAAGACTCTAGAAGAAATAGTTAAACGAGTCTTAGAAGATCTGGTATGTCATCTGTATTTTCTTTTTTAACTAGCATAGGAAGAAATAGCATAGCAGGGAGCTGGATGGGAAGTTGAGCTGCTGGGGTTAGAACCGGCACCCATATGGGATCCCAGCACGTTCAAGGCGAGGACCTTAGCCGCTAGGCCTCTTTGCCGGGCCCACAGATGCATCTTAAGACATGAATACTGGAGGAAGAAAGAAAGGAACATTAACAAGTTAAATTCCAGCCCCATTGTCCATAATTGCCAAAACCTTTGTCAAGATTTATGCTTTTCTGAAATGAAAACCAAGAAGTGAAACTAGCTCCTCCTTGCCCCTATGTAATGCTGTAAAGCTTTGGGTCTAATAATCTTATTCCTTCCACAGATCGAAGTACACAAAAAGACAAAGGCCCATATTATACACACCTTGGGGCAGGACCCAGTGTTGCTGCTATCAGGGAAATCATGGAGAATAGGTGAGGACATATGCTTCCCAGTTAAAATTTTTTATTGTGGATCTGACTCAATGCAAAGGAATGATCTCTGGAAACGAACAGGAGGTGAATGAAACATGTTGAGGGGTATGAATTGAATGTTGTTGAGGGCCTAGGTAAAGCATGTTCAGGTGTCGTGCCTAACTCAACTTCTATGGACCACTTCTTTACCAGGCATGCAGTAAAGTCTCATGGTCAGTTCAGGAATATTGATTTTATATCCTGGGAGAAATAGTTCACACTGCCACCATCCACTCCACAGAACCCTTCCATATCTCTTAAGAGCCACCCCTTTTAAGAATAAATAAACAGAACTAGATAACAAATAAAGCATCTGACAGAGAAATGCAAATTTCTTTTAAAAGAAATGGATTATCTGTTTTAAAGTTTTTATGTCTGTATAAGAACAGATGACAATTCCCTTCATTATCCCCACTGTGTTTTGTACTTAGGTATGGCAAAAAGGGAAATGCAATAAGGATAGAACGGGTAGTATACACAGGAAAAGAAGGGAAAAGCTCTCAAGGCTGTCCTGTGGCTAAGACAGTAAGTGTTTTGTATTTATACTTTTCCCCCCAAAATTTCTGCGGAAGCTGTGTCTTCTCTTGTGTCTTGGTTATGATTGCCTGTCCTACACATTTGGGATGTTTAAATGTGCCATTTTTATGTTCAGCGATAAAAGGATATAGATCCCTATTGCTATTGAATACTTTCTTCCTCTCTCGACAGTTGTCAATGCCAAAAATGCCCATGCATAATTTTAGAAGTATTTCAATGCCCTTTTCCTTGCATAGGATCAGCCAAATATTACTGAATTAATGAGCACATATAAGATGTGATGCTTGCAGGAGGATTCCCAGTCAAGACATTACAGTGGACCCTGTATTTACAACTGTAAAACGTAGAATCATTTGAGAACAGTGATATTTCTAGAAATGATCATTATATTGAATGATAACAACTCATCTTTTAAAATTTATTCTATTTTTATTGTAATGTCAGAGATACAGTCAGATATACAGAGAAAAGTAGAAAGAAAGATCCCCAGGTAGCCACTACACTGATCTGAAGCCAGGAGCTTCTTCCAGGTTTGCCTTACAGATGCCTTGGACTGTCCTTGACTTCCTTCCCAGGCCACCACCAGGCTTTTGACCATCCTCAGCTGTTTTTACATGGCCAAAAGCAGGATGGGAAGTGGGGCTGCTGGGATTAGAACCTGCAACCAAATGTATCCCAGCTGATGCAAGAAGACTGTAGCCTCTAGGATATTGTTCCAAGGCTGATTGTTCTTTTTTTTCTTTTCTTTTTTTTTTTTTTTTTAAGATTTTAATTGCGTATTGGTTTTTAGAGAAGGGGAAAGATCTTCCATCTAAGCAAACATCACTAAACAAATGGCTCCAACAGTTAGATATCGGGCAATTTGAACCCAGGATCCAGGAGCTTTTTCTAGGTCTCACACTGACTGGGTAGCAGGGTCCCAAGGCTTTGAGCCATTGTTTTCTGTTTTCACAGATCAGAAGTGCATGAATTTGGATGGGAATTGGAGCAGCTTAGACATGAGTTGGCACTCATTGGATCTTGGGCCTTACAGAGATAAGATTGTTCAATTAACCCAATACCTGGATTTTAACTGTTTCCAGTTCCAAGTCTAGTTTTCATCCTTACAGTTAATTTTTTCTATAATAACTTCTGTTAATGAAACTTCATTTTTTTTCAAGTTTTTTTTTTAATCTCATTGATAGGGCCTGGAGCCACGTCTACCATATACTCAACATTCAGTAAATTTATGTTTTGTGAATTATATTATGGAGCTTAATTAAGACTATTTAGCAAACTAAATTTTTAAATTTGATTCTGCACTGTGAAATAAGTTTTGTAGTTTTCAAACTATATTCTAAGAAAATGGTTCACATGAACAAGTGCTGCCAACCCCAGATTGAAGTTTAGATAGTGCCATTGTGTCCTATCTGGCAGGGGCACAACTATGGAGACAATTCAAGTTAAGTTATTCATTTAATTTGCAGTACTTATAGATTCTATATGTCCATGTATAAACAGCGGTTTGGTTAAAGTGATAGTATATTATTCAGTGTAGTTTTTAAGAAGGTTTATTTTTTATCTATGTGACAGTTTTGGTATTCTGCCAAGCACCTGCGTCTTCCATGGAGGTGGCAGGGGTGTTGGGCCATGGCCTTCCAGGATGCCCAAGTAGGAAGCTGTAACAGAAGCAGGCCTGGATTGAAGCAGAGTCTTCCACTTGTTGTGGAATGTGGGCAGTGGTCTGGATCTGAGGTCTCCCAGTACCTCCTGACACTTGCCTCCTTTTCTTGAAGAGTCTTTTTGGATGTCACACAGAAACAGTGTTGAGGGCAAATTCTTCCTGGATAGCACAGCTGTGTGCGCCCTTTTCACACTGTTTTGCCTCTGCTCTCAACATGGATTCTCTGGACATAGTTCCTTGCCAAGTGCCCATTAACACTCCCACATAGTAATTTGCCTTCAGCAGACACTTTATCTCTGCTCTCCCATGAGATCTTCCTCACTGGTTTAGGAGGAGGATGAGGTAGTTTCTTGGTGGAACAGGCCCTGCTAACTCATGCTCTCTAAGTGCCTCTGGAGTGAGGACAGGCACAGGACAAGGAATTCATAACCACAGACTGAGCAGTACACATTGCAACCCCAATTCCCAGACTCCAACTGAGAGATTCTATATTAAAGTTGAATAAATGTACCAATGGATAAATACCAGTAAAAAATTACTCTCATCTGCTGTACCTACTGATTTGGAAATGGTTATAAATCACTCTGAAAATCCTCTGAAATCCTCTTGCTTGGATTTTTTTTTTTTTTTTCTTGCCTTCATACATTCTTGGAAGTCTTTCATTTTTCAGGCTTACTCCAAGTTTGTTTGTATGGTTGTCTTCAGAGGCTATGGATGCACTCCACTCTTTCCTGTCAATCGAATGCTGTGGGCTGTTAAAGGTGTTAGCTTGTGTAGTAGGCTGGCCTTTTTTGTCCCCTCTGATTTTTGTGTAATGTGAATGGCATGTTTTCAAGTTCCTGGGATGGGCCTTAGGCAAACAGTAAGAAGTTTGTTTGGTCTGTGATATTCAGCTGATATAACCTTCACAAACACTAACTTTTTTGTAAAACATTTCTTCACATGACCTTATGCATCTTTTGTAAAGATTTATTTTTGGAGAGTCAGAATTACGGAAAGAGAGCCACAGAGAAATGCTCCCTGATAGGTCCTATAAATACTTTCAGTGGTAAGTGGCAGGGATCAGCCAGGCTTCATTCTATAAAAATGGTCCCGTGCAGTAGTCTAGTGGCTTCAATAAGTATACTCACTTTGCATCCCAGAAAAACTCCCTGGGTCCTGGTTTCACATGTGCTCAGCATTTTTTTTTTAACCCATTCATACTAGAAGTATTTGGTTGTGCCTCCTATATGCTGAGTTCTTTCCTCAGGAATCAACTCTGCAGTCTTAAAGCAAACACAAAATGGTTGCTAGCATTTTTTAACTGCTATGGAAAAATGAAGCAGCTTGCATAATATGTCCTGAGCCAGACAGAACAAACCAATTTCTGTTGCATGTGTTTTAAATGAAGGTAAAGCTTTTATTAACTGTGGTTTACATACAAAAGACTTCAAACATTTTAAGTTTTTATACATGAACGAGGTTGGGTCCATGGCATCCTGTATTCATGGCATTGTAGCACCGTGCCTATTATCCACTTCCAGCTATAACACTGTCTTATTTTTCATGAATCCAGCCTATTTAAACTTCATTCAATAAACAGGATTTCCAGGATATGTTTGCTTGCCATTGCATTGCCTGATCCACGTCATATGTTATTATTCATTCTGTCATTACCAAGGACTTGTCACCTATTATGGATAGCTAAAGTTTATTTATTCCACTTTGGAGGATACTTTATTTTTCCTTTTGGTACAAGTGGCTCCTGCAGGAAGCTGTATCAGAAGTGCAGAAGCTTCCAGGCACGATTGGTTAGTGGCTAAAGTCCCTTATGGGCGCAGATTGTAATCACAGCAGCTCCATTTCCCATCCAACTTGCTGTTTGTGGCTTGGGAATTCTTCCTCCAGGATTCATGACTTAAGATGGAGCTGCCGGGCCCGGCAGTGGCCTAGCAGCTAAGATCCTCACCTTGGAACTGCCAGGATCCCACAAGGGATCTTGCAGATCTGAAAGTCTAAATGAATGAAACATGATCTCTTTTGTATGTAATTACGATTCTACATTTTGAGAATACAGTCCATTCTTTAGTTTCATGCTGTATTTCACTTTAAAATCAGAGTTGCCGAGAGAAGGGGTTCCACTACAGGAGAGCTTCAGAAGTGGAGCAGCTGGTTCTCTTGTGGTAACTGTATGGTTTCCAGCCCACTTGTGCATGAACATGGTTCTTAAACCTTGCCAAATAACCAACATCATGTTTATATTTTCTACTTATATTATTTGAACGACAGATCTGCCACCTTATTCCCCAAGTGACGTAAACAGAGCAGAAACATGAACCAATTGTGAGCCTGTCACTTTGGTGCAGGTCCCAAGGACTTATTCCATCCTCAGCTACTTTCCCAGCAAAGTGAAGTAAAGTCACTTTCCTCTGCCTCTTCAGCATCATTAGCACTCTTTCTGCCTGTTTCTATTTCCTTCACCGTTAACAAAGACTTGTGCTTTGATCTAAAGGGATAAGGTGCAGGCATTCCATGTGTGTACAAATTCGGGTTGCTGCTGCTCTACCTCTGATCCAGATTCCTGATGATATGCCTTCTCAAGGAGTGAATGCATGTGTTGGGTTCCTGCACTCATGGTGGAAGTGGAGAAAAAGTTCTGGCTTTGGCTTAGGTTCAGCTATTGTTGGCAATTGTTAGGCAGTAGTTGAACATCTTCATGAGTTAAGGATGTTGTTTTTGCAAATATAAATGTGTTCTGATTTTGCAGGTTTTGAGAAGAAGCAGCAAGGAGGAGAAAGTCCTTTGCTTGGTCCGGGAGCGTCCCGGCCACCACTGCGAAACAGCGGTGATAGTGGTGCTCATCATGATCTGGGAGGGCATTCCCCTCGCCAAGGCTGACAGAATGTACTCGGAGATTACTGCAGACCTGAGGGGGTATAACGGCCATCCCACAGACCGGAGATGCACTCTCAATGAAAAGTAATCACAGCTCGTTGATACTGCTTCAGTGTTCACATGTTGCCTGTTAATGCTGCTTTTCCTTGGTGCTTTTCTGGAAAATGGTGTCCATTTTAGAATATGATCCTTGAGAATGTCATTTCATTCATTGCTGTGATGGCTGTCTATATGTGCATGACAAAGTCTACCCTGGGGCTTCAGTGTAACTCCACATCTATGCATTTATAAAGGGATTTATAAAGAGAGGGAAGTATATCTGCTCGCTCACTTCCAAATAGAGCTAAAACATTCAGAGGTTGACCAGGTCAGAACTGCATGTGAGTGTTTCCCATATGTGTTTTATTAGCAGGGATCTGGATTGTAAGTGGAACAGCCTGGGGTAGAACCATAGTTTATCCCCTTTATTTGGATTTACTGTAGTTATAGGAGAATTCTTTACATTGAATAATGCATTCCATAATTGTGAATCATTCATTTCCTAGCTTCTCAAATTTTAACAACCTGAAATGTTCTATCTGATTTCCATTTACCATCTTACAGTCGTACCTGTACCTGTCAAGGAATTGACCCAGACACTTGTGGAGCTTCATTCTCTTTTGGGTGCTCCTGGAGTATGTATTTCAATGGTTGCAAATTTGGGAGAAGCCCAAGCCCCAGACGATTTAGAATTGAACCAAACTCACCCATGCACGTAAGTGTTATATTTGAGTGACATGCTAAGTGAATACATATATGCTTTCCTTTCAACTTTTTGGACACTAAAAGTAAATAATATAACTTGGTATTTAAATAGTAAATGTGTCTATAAATAAAAAATGTTAATAACATAGGCAAATTCTTCAATTACCATCCCCCAGTTTCATTTGTTTCTGGGTCTCCTACTCTAGAAGGAATCTTGTAAAGAGAAACTAAAATTTGATTCTAACCCAAAGTAGAAAAAAATCTATTTTCCTAAATTCCAAAAACTCAGAAAGTTTACTACCCACAGAACTACTATGACAGAATTACTAGAGGACATAAACGAAGAAGACGACGTGTAAAAAAGAAACCAATCTGTGCGGAACACATGGCTATGGTGAGCGAAGAAAAGTCTAATTTGCTCTTAAATTTAAATAAGTCGAGTCCTAAGTTTTTAAATTAAATTAAATTTGGTGGTGTAGGCAGTGGGAAGATTCTATTTTAAAGGGTTGTAGAAAAAAACATTAGTAATGTTTGCAAAGATAAAACACAAAATAAGACAATATATAAACTCATTATAAACAATAACCCTTTGGAATTATAATAAGAATTATTTTATCATTTCCATTTCTTTAAAATTTGTACATAGTTTGATAAAGGAAACTATTACTCTTCATGACAGCCGTTCCTACTTTAAAAGCCTGCAGAAAGTTAAGTATGAGTAGTTAGAAGTCAATCTTGTTCAAAATCAATATTTTTTATACCTCTGGGTTGGACAGTAGAAAATGGGACCTTTTAAAAAAGTTCCTATTAAGATTAAATCAACTTTTCATATTCTAACAATTTTAATAGAACATTGCATAAAAAACTATAAAGATAATATCCTTAAATGATAAAAAAAATCATTCACATGTATTTTTTCAGAAAATGTAGGTGTGAATAAATTTTAAATAGTGATAATTATTTCGTTGCATACTTTTATAATAACACTGTGATGTGATCTGTGCTTGTGGTTGTTGTTCATTGTCTAGCACTTATATAGGAAGAAGTGTTGCTTTTCCCAGTTACTGTACAAGCCCAGTATTGCTGAAGCTGAGCAAGGCAGGGAAAGCTATGTACAGCCTTGGAAGCACTGATATCAGAGAGATTTTTTTGGTGGAAATTACATGGCACAGGATATTGCGTTACAATCCTAAAGGAAGATCTAGTGGGTTGTCATGTCAGTAAGAATTTGAATCCGGAAATAAAGTTTCCAGAGGCAAACTAGTGTTCTATAAATCGCCCAAGTTCAACAATTATCCAACCTCTTAATTTTCACTCCCACCTTCATGGTGGCTCTTACTCGTTTCTTTTGGCTTACTGAAGTGTCACAATTAATAGATTGACTCTCTAATTTTAATGCAGTCAAAAAGAATAAATAACTATTAGTTTGTAACTAGTCTTGTTTATCACTGGCATTTATTTTAACATTTGGGTCTCCTATGCGTGGTGCAGGGTACCAAGACTTTTGGCCATCCCAACCGCTCCTTTAAAAAAAAGATTTATTAATTATTGGAAAGGCAGATATACTAAGAACAGAAACAGAAAGGAAGATTTTTTGTCCAATGACTTACTCCCCCATGCGGCCACAATAGCTGGAGCTGAGCCAATTCAAACCGCCGCCATATAGCATTTAGGCCAGTAGAAATGCTAGGCTGTCACACTGGGTCCAGGATAGGCCATTTCACATGGTATAATTTTCAATCGAAAGTGTATTAGAGCACAATTCTTGTAGAAACAATGTGCTTTCCCATGTGCTTGGGCAAGTATGAACTATGTATCAAGCTCCAGTCAGCAATGTTGTATTCTCCAATTTAGTACTAATGTACATGTCATTCAATACAACTGATACGGATTGTCTTTTGCTATAGGAAAAGAACCTGGAAGATAATTTACAGGAACTGGCTACAGATTTGGCTCCACTTTATAAACAATTTGCTCCCGAAGCTTACCAAAATCAGGTATGGTTTTAAATATTCTACAGTGCTTTCCAATGTGGTTGCATACTATGCATGTATATTCATATTGGAATATTCTGTGTCTCAGCACTGCTTCCAATTTCAGCTTCCTGGAATTGAGAGATGATGCTGAGATTAATCAGTTATAGCTTCTCAGCAGATGTGAAATCTCATTTTCAAACAGAAAAAAAAAAAAAAAAACCAGTAAAGATACCAGGAAGTAACAAGTGGCATGATATAGAACTTGAAGTTCTTAATTGGGTTACCGGAATGCTTTTACAAAACAGTATGTTCTATTAAATTTTGATATCTCGTGGGATACCTGATTAGAAAATTGCTTTCTGCCACAGCTCAAAAAGTGCATATTTGATCCACACAATTTTAATATTCAGGGTTTCTGTCATCCTCAGGAGCACAGGCAGCCTGCAGATGGTAACTCCGTGAGCTCTCAGTACAAATCCCAAGTATTGCTGAACTGTACTTTTCCCACAATACTTTGTAGCCTGAGACAATTGGGAAATTTGTAGGTGCTATTAAATTGACTGATGTGTCCTGCTGTTTGCCAAAGATGCTTCTTTTTGGATGATGGCTTTGTGTCTCACACATTGCTTTTACAGGTGGAAAATGAGCACATTGCCCGAGAATGCCGTCTTGGGAACAAGGAAGGCCGTCCTTTCTCTGGGGTTACTGCTTGCCTAGACTTCTGTGCCCACGCGCACAGGGACATTCACAACATGAGCAATGGAAGTACAGTGGTATGTCTAGAGTGAACTCTGGTGGGAAATATGGCATCCAAATGCACGTTTGTCTGTGCTGTTAGACATATCTTCCTCAAGCATATGTGCCATATGGACAAATTTCACAGACGGACACATCCTTTAGAAAAGTGTAGTTACTCAGTCTTCACTGAATATAGGTGAATGGTTATAAGCTCTCCAATTCATGGCAAATTGAGACATATTTCCCTCCTATGCCACTTCTACTCCAATATTACAGATTATGGATTATGTACTCTCGAGGTGCTTCTGCAGTTTACCTTGACAGAGTGAGCTTCCAGTGCCAGCCTCTGCCAGGTGATACTGCAGCAAAACCCAACCAGACCTCACGCAGTATAATTTATGCTGCATGATTAGGAACTATCGGCCCAGGCTCATCCATGACCGGACACTGCTTAGTCCATCCTATATCTACCCTGGTCCTCCAGAGCATCAGGTGGTGCTGGAGCCTAGCCCTTCCTTGTATGTTCTGTCCCAGGAAACTGCAGCCATGTCCAGACCAGTGGAGCAACCACTCCAGCCCTCACACTCACCAATAGGAACCCCAACCCAGTAATCTGGAATTAGATTTAGTAGTTAAGCTGTCTCTTGGAATGCTTGTATGCAATGAAGAAATGTCTAAGTACAAAAATTTAGAAAAATATAAATGTATAATATTCACAAGTAGAGTATTATAAGCTTGAAGCCATTTTGTATTATGAATAAAATTCAATTGTAATTTTTTTAACTTGGGCACAACACTGGTGGTTGTGGCTAATCTTATCAAGCAGAATTACTGCTTTCTTTCCAATTGGAAATTTTTCAAAATAGGGAGTTAAGGGCAGAATGTGACATGTGCAAGACTTCATGCTGCCATTTCATTTTCTCTTGCACCAGGTTTGTACTTTAACACGAGAAGATAACCGCTCTCCGGATGACATTCCTGAGGACGAGCAGTTGCACGTCCTGCCCCTATATAAACTCGCCGATGTAGATGAGTTTGGCTCCAAGGAAGGGATGGAGGAAAAGATCAAGTCTGGGGCCATCCAGATCCTCCAGCCCTCCCGCAAACGGAAGACCCGCTTCACTCAGCCCGTTCCTCGATGCGGGAAGAAGAGAGTTGCAATGATGTCTGAGGTCCTGGAACGCAAGGTTAGGGCTGTTGAGAAGAAGCCTGTTTCTCGAGGCAAGCAGAAAAATAAAGTCACAACAGTCCCCAACGGTAAGGTGTCCTGCAGCCCTAATGTGATAAGCGCAAAAAGGAATATTCCCCATCTGCTGTTCCACGCCTCAATCGTGGCCGCAAGCAGAGTGTGGGCAGGTTAAATTCACGGGTGATTGAATAAATTATGGCCTGTAAAACAAGAAGATTTATCCCATCAGGAATTGGGCAAGATCACAACCACACCCGAACAGGATTGGACGGGTAAGTGGGGCAGGAGTTGGATCAGAAGCTCTGGCTTTGACAAGTTTAAGACTCTTGTTAGAAAATTCTCCAAGGTTTATGTCAGACAGGCAATCGCATAAAAGTCAAGGTTTGAGACATTTTGACAGGAAATGGAGTTAGGAAGTCAACAGCGTCAGTGTTTGCAGACGGGACAAAGACATTAAGTTGTAGTCTGTCAGAGAAGAAGTGAGGCAGCCAGTAATTTATCCAAGGCTGATACCTGAGGGTTATATGTGGGCAGCTTCAGAAGAGTGGAAGATGAGGGAATGGAAGAGATTGGGCAGAGCTTCTGGTGAAATAGACATGAAGAGGACCTCAATAATGCAGTGAAAGCTACAAAGTGCAAGCATACAAGAATCCTCATTGTTGATTCATAGACATCCTCAGCCAGGAACTAATCCTTAGATTAATTCTGAGCAGACATCATATATTATGTGTGATTCATCCGTGCTCCTTCCTTGAAGATAAGGAGTCTTTATGATCTTTACATTATGCCAAAAGGCAAATCTTAACAATACTACAAGCTTCACTTGACTCCCTTTTCTTCTTTTTTAGATTTAGAAATTTTCATTCCTATTTGCTTGGCCCCAGGCTGTGAAGCTAATTTAGGAGCCAGGAGCTTCTGTGGGTAGCCGGGAGTCAATATTGGAGTCATTACCACTGATTCCCGGGGCTTGCGTGGGCAGGCAGCCTTAATTGGGAGCTACAACTGGGTGTGGAAAGCTGACTAGCCAGTGGCTGCACAGCTATGCCAAATACACCCTCCTGTCCTAGCTTTTTTTTTTTTTTTTTTTGTTCTTTACATTTGCTTTTGTTACAATTTGTAGCTTTAAAAAGTTATCTCGTTTAGTGCATTCTTTTTTATTTTTTTTTCAATTCCTTTTATTCATTATAAATGAAATTATTACTGTAGATTTTATTGGTTATTGTCTTTTGGTTTCACAACACATTCTGTACATTTGGTGACCCTGCTTTTTGCTTTAAAACAGGCTGTGTCATACTAGGTGTGCTTTAGATCATAACTGTCTGTGTGGACTGGCATCATGGCATGGCATCCACTTCCTGCAACAATGGCATCCCATATGCATCCCGGTTCAATTCCTGGCTACTCTGCTTCCGTTACCCTCTGAATGCACCAGTGAAAACAGCACGAGCTAGCCTGAAGTCATGAGACTGTCTGTCACCTATGTAGGAATCCAGGGTGGACTTTTAGGATCCTGTCCTAGAGCCAGCAGCTAGAAGATCTGTTTATCTTTAATTCTACATTATCTTTCACATAGTAGGAAGAAATGACCACCATGTAGGTTTTCTTAATGAGTTGCAGAGACTCAAGCCTTAGTCATTACATGGCATCCCTGCGGTAGTACCTGTTTGTGATGAAGCAATGCCGCATCTCCTGAGGAGTTGATGTAATGGCTGGGTTATCCTACAGGATGTCTTCACACTGTAGGGTCCTTTCACTTTATGATTTTAAGTGGGATTCATTTAAAACTGTTTTTATATCTTGTTAGGGTCATTTTTTCCTCAATGAAGTTTATTGGAAATATCAGAAGTGTTTCTTCCCAGAAGTATGTACATTCTGAAGTACTGTGATGAGGATTTTTTCTTTGCCTCTTTTAATGAAGATGCACATAAATTTTTTCTTCCTGTAGTAAAAAATAGCATTTGAAATTTATTTTCTCAAATCTTTTGTGCTTTTGCTTAGGTTATAAAGGCTACCTGTACTTATTTGAAATGCAGAAATATCTTCTTGTTCACTCAGCCAGCACAATGGGACATGAGCTTCTTCCGCTGCTAAACCTCTGTACCAAATGTCTGCTGCCCCGATTCTTATTTCTGCCATGACAACTAGTTCCAGTCTGACCTTATATAATCCTGTCCCATATCTAAAATCGGCAATTTCTCCTGGGCACCTCACTCTTCTGGGCCAATTTTAATACTCAAAATGACAGGGTGTTCCTTAGTTTGCTTCATGTTTGTATTTTTAATAGAAGAGGAATATTTTTTTTTCTGCAAGAAAAGATATCACCATGCAGAATTGTTGAAGTGACCCCATAGGAAGCTTATCATGCCATCTTGTTAGCAACTTGATTTTTCCTCAATTTATTGTTTTATTTCCTAAAGATTTATTTTTATTACTTTTATTGGAAAGGTGGATATACAGAGAAGAGGAGAGACAGAGAGGAAGATCTTCCGTCCGATGATTCACTCCCCAAGTGAGCCGCAACGGCTGATGCTGTACCAATCTGAAGCCAGGAGCCTCTTCCGGGTCTCCCACGTGGGTGCAGGTTCCCAAAGCTCTGGGCCGTCCTCTACTGCTTTCCCGGGCCACAGGCAAGGAGCTGGAAGGGAAGCGGAGCTGCTAGCATAGAACCGGCGTCCATATGGGATCCTGGGCGTGCAAGGCGAGGACCCTAACCACTGCGCCACCGTGCTGGTCCCTGCATTTATTGTTATGACGCACATCTGGATCCTTGCTGTTTGATAAGAAAAGTCATGTACTATCCACATTCTCAGATGCAGCAAGCGGGATTTTCTCTTTAGTCTTTGCATATATATTCATAACCATACACATAGAATTTGATATCTGTGTCTTTAAAAATTCTGTTTGTGAAAGTAGCCGAACAGGGAGTGATGTTTTGTCTTCTGGCTTATTCCCCGATGTCGTGTCAGGCCCCAGGGCATTATAAGGGTACTGGATCACAAGTGGAGCCAGTGCTATTACAGGGTGCTAATGCCACAGGTAGGACCTCGTAGTACCACGAGATGAGCCCCTTCAATGTTAAAAAATAATCTTATATTTTATCATAAGCAAATCTCTTAGAGTTCACACCCCTACGGAGTCCAGGCTAAGCTAGAAACGGATAACAGAACCAACTCCTTCAGGTGTCACCTGCGGCTTTTTATGTTGCACAGTAAGAAGAAGCTTGAAGCGACAGTTGTTCCAGGACATGGATCTTTTATTTGTATAGGAAAGTCAGATTTCCAGAAAGATCTTCCTAAATGGCCAGAGACGAATTGATGTGCCATAAGGAGCCATTCTGGTGATTCTTCTGTGTCTCCCATATGGCTGTATTCTTCCAAGGCCTTCCTAGCCAGCTATTTCCCTAGCAAGATTCCAAGTGGAGCTAACAGTTATCTGAGATGCTGGTACTTACAGGTGTTTTGCCCCAGTGTCTGCCCCTTTTTTTTGTATCACTTCCTTTTCCCTTGTAATTGACATTACCTGACAATTGCCCTGAGACACAAAGCCTTCAGCATTTTCACTTTTTCCAAAAATGAAATATTGCAATGCTTAGCATCTATTTGTACCACTATGTATCAACGGCACAGCTTCTGATGTATACTTTCATTTACTTACATCCTAACCTTTTAGAATCTTATATTTGCTATGTTGAGTAATGAGCTTTGAAACTTTGACTCAGTTTTTGCATTTGTGTTTGCTTTTGGAATTAAGAGTTGTGTATGACACATAATTGATGAAAAGATATTCAAGGCATTGAAACAAATTTGTTAGTGTATGTTTGTGTCATTGTAATTGCACACAGTTAATTTCCTCATTATACTTGTCTTTCAATACAAGAACTAGCAAAGATTTTATTTATATTCACATTTGGTATCCTCTTTCTGTTTATGAAGTAAATTTTCAGATGATGGCAACTGATGTAAAAGATTTAATTTCTCGTCTAAAATTAAGAAAAGATTAAAAATGTGGCAATTCAATCCATTTCAGGGAAAGTGGCAAACCCATCTCCACTGTATGCCTCGTCCTCAAATACAACCTTTTCTGGAACTGCAGAAAGAAATAGCTTTCCCTTGGGCACAATGCCTTCTGGAAGACCCTATGGTGCTGATGCAGTTACTGGTGATTGCCCACAACCTGACGAAGGACCTTCATCTCCCATGGCGCAGTCCTCGATTCACCCCGATCCTCTCACCGCTACTCCTGAGCAGTCCCCAATGTTAACCTCTGCTCTTGGGGAGGAATGTGAAGAGCTTTCAGAAGCTGATGAGACTCTACCGGACGACCAATTATCTGATGACCCACAGTCGGCTGCCGAGGATCAGTCTGCCAACACTGAAGAGTATTGGTCAGACAACGAGTACATCTTCTTAGACCCCACCATTGGTGGGGTGGCCATAGCACCCACACATGGCTCCATTCTAATTGAGTGTGCCCGGCGAGAGCTTCATGCTACAACTGCTGTTATCCTTCCCAACCGGAACGTGCCCGTACGCCTCTCCCTCGTATTCTACCAGCACAAAAACTTGAATAGGCCGCAACATGGTTATGAACATAACAAGAGTAAGTTTGAGGCTAAAGAAGCAAATAAAAAACCTAAGGCGCCAGAAAGGACAGACAAGGCAGCTAATGAAGTTGCTGTTTTGTCCCCCGAGGTAAATGCATTAAAAGATATTCCTTCTCATAAAGCATTAACATTAACCCATGATAATGTTATAACGGTATCCACTTATGCTCTCACACACGTTGCGGGGCCCTATAACCATTGGGCTTAAAAGATTTGTTTCCCATTTTTATTGTATTTTTTCAAGGTGCTGTAAAAGAAAGTCATGTTATTGTCGACTATATATTCATCTCGCCCACTTCAAGTTTGAAAGTATTGGGTGAGTACTTAGCTGTGACTATCAACTAACTGGTAAAGGTGCACATTGTAAACAAAACTAAGAAGAAAAAAAAAAGAATTACAGTTTTAAACACATACAGAAGTGTTTGGGCTAGGTGTTAATTTTGACAGACTCACTCAGTTTGGTGCTTTAAAAAGTCTGTTTACTATGAAACCAGAGTCATTTTTAGAGGATTTTACCAGGCTCTTGTGCTATGATGTAAAATCAAGACACAGTGTTAACTGTACACAGCTCCCTGGTGCTTTTCCACATTAACACAGTTGAAAATAAGCTGAGTGATAATTTCATGGTGCCATTGTTCAAACATCTTCCAATCATTGCTAGAAAAGCAGCATATTACTTTGAAATAAACCAATGAAATACTTTTTGTCTTAAAATGTTTCTCTTCTATCAAATAATTCATTATTGTTAGTAATGGTTGGAGGCTGTTCATAATTGTATATATTTTAAAAAGCACTTTCTATTTTTTAAAGTAACTTGAAATAGTATAGTATGAGAATCTATTGTTTGCATATTTGCATATAAGAGGTATCATTCTTGCTGTATAGAGTTCCATCTTGTTAACTGCAGTTTGTATTCTAATCATGTATGTGGTTTATGTTCTATTTGATGTGTCCTTTCACATCTACATACCTGCTACGTGTATAAATTTGTTAGGTAATGCAAAGATATTATAAGATTGTAATTGGAATACATATCATCAGTACTGACTGTCTTTAGAATTAAGAGTGATGTCTTCTGATACTGAGCAACCATGGCCTCAATTTACTTTGAAGCTTAACTGTTCAGTACAATCCATGAGACATGATTGCAAAAGAAGTTGGGAGGAAATTACATTTACAAGACTCAAATGCTTCTTTTCCAGAGCCCTACCCCTCCCAGAAGGCCTTATTCTTGTCATTTAGAATTAAAAAGATTTTCCTATTGATACCTTGGGAATGTAAAGTCCTTATTGATGCCTCCTGTCCCAGAGAAATCATGGGAATGGAAGTACCAACATGGCTTAGTGCATTAAGAGGTAAATCACTGTTTAATCCTAGCATGTTAATTTGAGGAAGTGAAAATTCACCTTCTCTGGCCTATGCCCTCGGTATCAGGAATTAGGCTTTCCGTTTACTTTATTCTTCCCATTACCTTATCCAATGGATTCTAATAGCAAAATGAACATTTAAACAAAGGATTCCCCTCAAGTTAGTATCTGAATAAGAGGAACCTTAAATGAAATACTTGATCCCTTTCCTCAGCAGAGGTGCTATCACATATAAAGTGTCAGATTCCTTGGGAGTATAGAAAACCTAATGGTGCTTCTCCCTTGGAAATGCCATAGGATGTCTAATTCATAATTTTGGTGCAAAAACAGTTCCAGTAAGCTATCTAATGAAAAACTTGCCCTAACTTATTTAAAAAGTATATATGGTGCAAAGTATCACTTTAAAGCTTTTGGCTAATTCAAGCAAAGGAATATGAAGGGATTGTATATAAGGACTTATCCATTGATCAACCATTGATACCTGCTTCTACAACATGTAAAATAAGGTGATTGTTTTGTTTTAGTATTTTGTGTGCCTTAGAGTTTTGTTTTCAAATGTGTATATTTTTTTGAGCCTGAGGTTTCTTACCGCATATAAATATTTAAAATAAGTGATTGTTTATTGCTTCAGCTGCTCCAATAAGATAATTCCTGGGATTAGACTATCAGGAATAGACCCAAGTGTAGATTTTAGGCTTTAGCTCCCACTTGAAATTATTTCCTCACTAGATTTAATGAATTGGCTACGTCCATTCTTTCAGGATCCATTTCATTGAGTTTGAATTAGCACACAGTGAGAAGATTTAATTCTTTGCCAACATTTTTCTTCAAGCTTTCAATTGGTTTCTATATCTGATTGTTTGTTTATGGGACTTTTGAAGCTTGCTGCGAAAACCTGAATATATTCAAACTAATTAATGTCTTGCAGACTTGCAGGCTGCTAATAAAATAATTCCTTGCCGTCATTGAGTCCTTTAAAATATTATTTGCTGCACACTCTATTTTTAGTGGCTCCAGGGCCATTATAGCTCCATTGACATCTTGTTTCATTCACAAAATGGCAAATATAACATTACAAATCTGAGATGTGTAGTCATTGGAAAATGAGGCTATGTGCAACTGTAGATAAATTTTTGCCATATAACTACATATTTTCAATTTCTTTAGCAGTTAGCATCCTCATTTAGTTATTTTGATTCACCTGAATAACAAGCAAATAGGACATATCCTTAGCACATGAATAAGTGCATACTGTGTATGCATTAGCTGCTTCCTAGTGGTATCGCAGCAGTAAAATCCCACATAGCCGCTTTTTGCAATGGCATGTATAATATCTCCAAACTGTTCACCAACAATATCATGTTAAAACAATCTGGAAGCCAAATTATGACATTGTTGCATGACAAGTTCCAGTAATGGGCATAGTATTTCCTTTTAATGTGTCAAATCAGTAGCTGTATGCAAGTTTGAGTAATACAAAGTTACCTTCAATTTTACACCATTAGTGCATGGAAATTCGTTATTTGTCCAAATCTAATATCATTGTGCATTTTGATCTTTGTGGATGTGGTAATACCCTCAGCACTGGTGTGACACAGTGGAAGTGCGTGGCTATTGTGTTTAGCAGAGTTGTATAAAAACATTTTGAGAGGACCCAGTGAGGTACAGCAAAGTTCCTAGCAAGACTGGATTAAGATGGCTAGCAGAAATGCATGTGGTGTGTCACGGAAATGTTACCTATGGAGGTGTCTTACTGCATCCTAGGAAAAGTAAACTACTTTTTTTTCACTATTTAAATAAGCAAGTATCAAATAGATGGAGTCTATGCCTTTTATTCACCTTGGAACTGGTGTTAGACATATACTAGATATTAGAAAAGATAGAATGATTGAGATAAATGTGATTGATATCTTACTGTTTGTATTATGTGCATACTACCTAGCTAAAATTGTACAGTCCTTTCATGTCCAGTTGTCCTCACAATTATGGTCTTGGCATTAATTTATTTTAAGCACATAGCCCTTCTACCCACAGTTAACATTTCTGTAAGCTGCAGTGGTCAGGACTGACCAAAGCCAGCTATCCAGAACTACATCCAGATCGCCAATGTGGCTGGTTGAATTGTGTTGGAATACTATTTAATTCTGCATAACATTAAGTATGCCCATCAATGTACTGGATTTTTGACATCAGCCCCTGTGGAACTGCATATAGAACCTTCTGATGTCATTAGTACCTGAATTTCTGCAGGTCAGATTATGGTCTGCACGGATCATTCTACTAAAAGCTTTTGAAAAGGTTCCATTCAATGCTCTTCAATTAGATAAATTTGTGTATTTTCTTCGAATATAGTGAGAGTCATTGTCACATTTCTGCTCAGCTATATAAAACACGGACTGAGTTATTTATTTTTGAGGTGATAGAGCATCCACATACTAAACCTCTTCCCAGTTCCTGGATGATGTGTTAATCTGTGCCTTCTGGGCACTCAGTTAAAACTTGTTGTCTGTTCATACCATGTGTTTTACTGCTTTGAGTAATCCAAAGGTATACCTTAGGTTGCCACTCCTCTTGTAATCCTTTTCATAGTGCGCAAGATTTACTATCACTGGCTTTAAAATTCCAACAATTTTGTTGGCTGTACTCCATTCACACCCTTACTATAATATTTGCAATCCTGGGTTGTGAACTTTCTGCTAGTTTTCTCAACTGCAGATGTCTGTTATGTTAAAGCAATGGTTCCTTCATGGTAACAATGCTATCATGTAGAATGTGTTACTGAATTTTACCCATTTATGTGTGAGATTTTAGAAATCCTTGGTTTCTAAACTAAAAAATTTCCCATAACTTGATTAGGTTTGATATTGTAATCTTTGAGGAAGATTCTCACTGAATGTACTGACTTGTAAAGCGTCCTTAGTGACTATCTGTGCAAGACACCATATTAGTTATAAGTTAGCTGGCCAGTGAGTGTAAATAAGTAATCAGGTTTGATCTATACTAGTTTTTTCATTGCATGTTTTTCTTACCTCCCAATCCAATCCAATTTTGAGGATGGATAATTAAAACCTGTTTTGTAATGTATAGATAAAAAAAAAACTTTTTTGTTGTTTGCAATATTGGAATTGTTTTGTAATCTGGGTGAGATTAAATTTAAAATGAATTGAAGGTTAACTTAAATATGTTGCAAAAGTATACCTAACCCCATGGAAGCACTTTTGGACACAAAATAAAGGGCAGAAACATGGAAATTTATGCTCCCGTCATCATGCTAAAAGGTGAAAACAAATATTTTTCATATTCTTTTCATTCCACATCTTTCATGCTATGAATGTTCTAAGCTGTCAATCGGCTACAATGTGCAGCTTTGAAGGTAGCCAAATTTGCTCTCCTCAAGTTAAAAAACTCGTGGATGCAAAAATAACCAATAGCTGGCTTCCAGTCAACTAAATGTGTTACTACATAAAAATTTTATCAAACCCATTTGAAGCAGAATGAGCCTTATCATTCACGAAATATGCTTCTGAAGTATTTTCCTTTCATGAATTTATTTTTTTCATAGTATACAACGTTTCCCCTTATTCCTAGTACTGTTATCTTAGGGCTTTGATTCATGAAATTTTTTTCATTTTCTTCCTTGAAAACCTCTTTTTATAATGACTATCCCTATATAATTTTTAAGTACGATTCAGGAAGACTAAAATCGACTCATTACATTCAAGGTTTAAAGTTCAGTGAAATATGGATGTACTGAAGGAACTTGCTAGATAGGCATTTTTTTCCCCAACCCTTCATGGAAAACCTGACATCTCCAGGACATAGTCTCTCACTGATTTGCAATTTGTTTCTTGATACTCTTTATTTCTTGCTAGGGTAAGTCTAAATCAAACATTGAATA